CGAAGATTTTCTGATTTTTTAGATCGACGTGATCAATGCGGTATGCGAAGCTTATGAGAAAACAATAAACAATGAAACAAGCGATATTTGCACCGCATTAAAGACTGCTGCATGGCAAACGTGCGAAGCAACGAAGCATATGTTACCAAGGTATATATGTAATAAACGAGTTCAACGTTTCAATTAAAATTCAATATTTATGATAAATGTAATGTTTAAAATGTATATCCATTACAGAATAGGACGAGCTAGTTACGTGAAACAGTCCCAGTATCTACAAAATGTGGATGCAGGTGCATATGGGGTTGCCACATGGATTAATGCCATTACAGATGTAATGAAGAATATTTAGATTTAATATTGTACAAACGTGTTAATATAAATATTAATCGTGAGACTTGTATAATTCGTTTTTGTGGATTATATTTAATATGTAAATAAAAATTTAATATATATAATAATATTAAGTATTATATTATATAATAATATTATTTAATATATATTTAATACATAAATAAAACCGACGACATTACGCAAAATAGGTTTACTTCTTCTTGTAAATAACAAGCACAAAAATGGTTCTTTACCATGAGCATTTATAAATTTGAAAATAGCATCATTTGTGACAAATGGCTCCACTTCTGGTGAAATCTTGAAGCTCGGTTCAGGTGCTCGTAGTACAGCGCCAATTGGGATAGCGTCAAAATGCTCAAACTGTTCGCCAAACTCGACTGTAGATAATTTGGCGAACAGTTTGAGCGTTTTGCCACTACACCGGCTGGCGCTGTACGGACCCCCGAACTCAGCTTTGAAACTTGGCCACTAGGGCAGCCACTCATCATAATTGGCGCTATTTTCAAATGTTTAGGTTCAACTGTGAATAATTTTGAAAAGCATAAAATAGCGTCACTGCGTGATTCCAGAATGTTTTTACCCTAGCCTGACGATACTTTCAATTATAGCACGGGATCATTGAAAACAATCTGAGACAAAGAATGACAATTTGAACGATTGGCTCGGGAGTGATTTACTTTCTGTAAAATAAAAGAAAATATAAAAGCGCTACGAACTTATTCTCCAAGCCAATATTTGGAATGATAGACATTTTGTAAGATCTTAAAGATTTTAACCACATTTTAGTTTTTTAGTATATGACATCTCTGGACGAGGTGCAAGCTAATGGTGTTAGATCGGACGATTTACATCGATTAAGCTGATCGGCTCGTCCGTTGCGAGGACATGCCTGGAAAAGTATCCTTGAGTGTGGATCCAGGAAAATCATGATGATACTCTTAATACATAATTTATTTGTCAACACGAATTTTCCATAAATATATCATATATCAATATTCATCATATATAGTTTTTGCTTGCACGTAATAATATCTTTTTATAGCACATACACAGCTTTATCCATATAGTTACTTTTTTCTTTCTCTCTGTTAAATCTCTTAATATAGTTCTTTGTACCGAACCGAGTTTCGTCCCCGAACTCACGGTTCCCGCGTCGCTCGTTTTATTCACCGAGAATCTATTTTTGCAGATTGCGACTGGTATCACCTGTGTTCGCTTACTTTCGAAAAAAATGACAAGCCTGCCTCGCCCCGGTTCGTTCACTCTACGATATGTCCGGATACGTCTCGCACGAGAGGCTCCCTTTATTGCCATCTGGTTCGCGTGTGTCTTTGTACTTTATTGTTTCGTTTTTCTCTAAACATTCAATCTGCAAAAATATATTTCCTTTGACGGGGGCTCGCACCTCCGAGCAGGCGTGCCCGAACCAAGATACAAGATCAAGCTTACACGACGTACAACGACGAAAATTAGTTGCAACACAGTCAAACTTAACGCGGAGACCCTGTTATCGATCTGTCAATCGACGATGGCACGTCTTCCTCGGATACCAACATTTTGGAATTTCTTGACAACATTTCGACGACTGATTATTTTCTTTCAAATAAATATCAGCGCAACCGGATGGTAATTTTCAAGGAACCGGATCACTTGAAATGTTAATTGATCGCTGGTTACAGTTTCGACGATATCAAATCGGTGCGCACAAGTCATTCTAAACGAAAGCGGAACTTCGATCGTCTGTAGTTACTCAGTTACAGGGCCAGATTTCATATATCAGGTCGTCAAGTATGAAATTTGTAGAAAAGAAGGCAAAGT